TGTCTGGAGCTTGGGTCAGCAGCCAGTTCCCGAAGTTCTGTCTGTGGTCTATGCCCGAGGCCATTAGGAATGTGGGGTGGAGCAGGGGGTGGGTGCCACCAGGGTCTCTGGGAGCAAGGCATCTCCTAGGGAACAGGGCATTGTCCTGGGCACATGCGGGTGCAGAGGAATGGGCTGCCAAGGGTGCCGGAGCATCTGGGAACCATGTACAGGTAAGCTGTGAGAGGCAGGTGGGCGGAGGCAGCCCAGCAGAGGAGGCCACCAGGCCTGGCAGAGCGTGCATGCGTGAAGCACAGGGAGGGCAGCAGAGTACCAAGGCCTTGACTCTGAATGCCACGCAGAAACACTGGGATTACATTCATCTGCTCCAGGAACCATAGATCTGAACGCAGAGGAGGAGATTTTATTCCAGCATTTTTCACAGTAATAGCACAGACACTCAGAGCTTAGTGGCACTCTCAGAACAAGGTAGGAAGTGCCCCTGACCTGAGCAATCCTTACCTTTGCCCAGAGGCCGTCAGCCGCCAGATAAAGGGCAGAATATCTATCCCCGTGTCCTCTTCAGAGTGACCTTGCAGGGCCGCCCTGTGCTGGGGCTCAGCCTGCCCTGAAATCTTCTCTTCCTGGTGGCTGATTGGCCCCAAGTTCCCCTGAGCTCTTGAGCTCACAAAGCCCTTCATTTTTTTATTTTAATTGAATTTCGCCCTGCTGGAAGGGACAGGGAAATGTCAGTTGCCATGGCTTCTCTAGCCTTCAGCTTTCTTCGTTGACCTGAGCCACAGAAATTGTTGCCCTACTCGGACCCTCATGCAATGTTCTCATATCTGCAAACTTCTTTAGCACCTACCTAAATGCTACGGGATGCAAAAGGGATTGTGGCTAGGAAAGCAGTACTGACTGTTTCGGAGGCTTTAGGGAAGTGTAAGTTCTCTTTGCTTTACCCCCTCAGTTCCCAGCCTGCAAAGCAAGGGAGGCAGATGTGAGTCCACATCCCAGGTCCATTCCTAGGGCTGCCTCACAGCACAGCCCCAACTGCTGGCCTCCCTGCTGCAGGGACTGAGGCACCTGGGGTAGGACTCTGGACAGAGAACTTGGAGAGGCCACGGGAGCAGGCTCCCGTTCCCCCCAAATCAACAATCAGAGAACAGAAGGAGGCTAAGGAAGGGGCTGTGTGTGGCTGGGCAATGGGCCCCATGGAGAAACAAGCAGCGGGGATCAGGGTCCCTGGCAATGCTGATATGACCGAGGTGATGACAGAGCTTGCAGCAGGTGCTACAAGAGAACAGAGGAAGGGCTGCTGACCCGCACAGGGGCTTAGGGTTGGGTGTATATGGCACCCTCTTCTGGGACACCTTGGCTCTTGTCTGAGCCGCTGTCCAGCACAAATTCACAGTGACTTCTATGTGGCCTTGTATTCTGGGTACCAGCTGTATGCCCCAGCTAAGAAGGCTGTGTGCAGGGCTGATCTCAGGGACACTGGCAAGCGTCAGTAATCCTTTCTGCATCCTTCCTCAGTTCTTTCCCAAATTCCTTGATTGATGCTAGATATCCCACCCTGCCAAACTTCCTCTCTGGAGCCTAAGACATTGTGCCTGTTTAGTTATCATTTCCTCTAAAAGAAGAAATGGCTGTTCTTAGTTACTGTCCTAGAGGCGCCATGGTAAAGGCTGGGCCCCGGTCCCCACATACCCTGACTCAGAGTCACTGACCTCTTCACACTTTGCTGTCCCCTCTGCAGACTCCAGGAGAAGGGAGGCCCTCACCTTCTCCCCCAGCCTCTGGACTGCAACTTTCCCCATCTCCTTAGCTTCTTACTGCTGCCCCAGGGGAGGTGGGGCCATGGTCAGGCTCCATTGGACAGCTGAACAGGCCCTCTGAGCTGACTGTCTTGCCCAGGGCCTCACAAGGCTCAGGGCAAACACCAAGTCCTCATAGCCGTCAGGACACTGTGACTTACAAACAGGAAACCTAGAGTCCTGGTACCTCAGAGATGGAGATGGGGACAAACCGAGAGGGAGGACAGAGAGCCTGCTCTTTAAAATCTGTTTACATAATGGCCTAAAAGTTCTTTGGAAAAGAGGCTCCATTTGGCAAAAATAGTTTGAAGACCATTGCAGGATGCTGTGTTATATCCTTCTATTTGAGCCTAAAATGGTATTTGGAACATTTCCAGCCCAGGCCCTGTCTGCTTGCTCCGCCTCAGGAGTACAAGCCTTACCGGAGCTTTGGGTCCCCTCCAGCTACTTCCATGGCACTGGAAAGAATTCTTCTCACTCCTTTGCCTTCTGATTTGGCTCCTCTGTCTTCTCTGTCCTCCCAGTGGGAATTGGTAGCAGCAGGCCCCAGGCTAATGAAATCATGGTGGTAAGTGGGGTGTTTGGCATCATTGTTAAGGCTTATGTCCAGATGTCCCCCCACTTCTTCATGCAGTCATATGTGGGGCTTTTTCAGAGGTGGATGGGTCTAGAGTGTGTGATGCTGGGGTTGATTCATGGTGCAATGCTGGGATGAAGGCACTAGGATTAAGGGTGTGAGTACTACCCTCCCTAAGTATCCTGGATAAGATATAAGGGACAGAAAGAGCTGTGATTGTCCCTTGCTTACTTTGCTACCTTCTGCCCACCATGAACTATTACTCCTCTGTGATGCCACTCTGCCTTGGAGCCAGCTAGCTATGAACTAAAACCTCTACGAACTGTGAGCTAAAAAAAACCTCTCCTCCTTCAACTTTGAGTGTCAGGTCTTTTGAGCAAGGAGAGAAAAGTAGCTAAGGCAGTCACCTTTGGGCTCACAAGGGCCCTTCATGGAACAGGGCTCACATCACACTGTCCCATGGGCACTTAAGGCTTCTGCCACCTCCATTCTTGTTACAGAAATTCTGGAAGTCTTCATTCCATGTCCCCAAGCTGGCCCGCTTCCCCAGTGATCTCAGTGGGAGAGGCTGGCTGTGGCTTAGCCACCTACAGGTAGCTGTAGGCCTGGAGCCCTGAGAATGGCACAGGCCCACACCAGAAGCAAGTTGGGAGCCAGTGTACACTAACAGGGTTGTTTTGTACAGCTCCCAAGGTGCCGCCACACTCAGATGCCAAGCTACGGAGGACACACATTGCCCAGCGAGTGCTTCAAGAGAATTTTATTTCTCAGACCTCCAACAGTCTTTGTGAGAGGAGAGGGAGGGTTATGCCTTCTCAAACTGAAAGCCAGAATGTCTCCCTTGTGCCCACGGCCCCAATGTGTGGTACTTTGGAGGGTGGGTACCAGAGATTGCAAGGCAGGCAGCGGAACCACTGAGCCAAATCCCCGGCCCCATGTGGTACCTTTTGAGCTGAATCTCCTGAGAAAGCCATGGCCAGAGCATTGCTACCTTAGAGCTCAGGAGGCTGTAATGGAACTGCACAGGGTTTCCAGGACTGCCCTGTACAAGTCCCCAGGCCAGTCTGTCACCTGTCTGTGTGATTTAGTAGCTCTCCTATCACTAGGACATCTAGAAGAACTTAAAGGAGGAGAGGTTTAATTCAGCTGTCGTCTACAGTCCGTGATCAGCTGGCTCCAGGGCAGAAGCTGCATGGTGAAAGGGCTGGGTGCTATCCTCATGGTGGTCAGAGAAGGGAATAGCTGGGGAGGGAGGGCACCCCTCCAGGTCACACCCAGTGACTGCCTCTTCCGATCAGGCCCCACCTGCAAACAGCCAGGCGGCTGTATGGCTCCCATGATGCAGTCACCTTCTCCACACCCTGCCTATGAGTGCACCGGGCTTTGGGAACACAATGACCTAAGCTGTGACACTACCCTGAGCTTTGCCCCAGAGGTGGATGGCAGCTGCTGTGAAGGACAGGCTGTCACGAGGACAGAGATGTGACGTGGAGGCTTTGCTGAGGATGAGGAAGTGTCTGGTGTGGGCTCCAGGAGACAGCTCAGAGAGGAGTGAAGGGAGGGAGATAATAAAACTTCTCTTGTTTCTCTTCTCATTGTGTTCTTAGAGCTTTGCCATGTCTGTGTGCTCTTGTGTATGCTACATCACAGTGCACTAATTTACACATGGGTGTCCCTAACCTGAACATCTTTTACTGCCAGGGTGAGGCTGGGTCAAGGCAATCACTGGGGCAGAGGGCAGCAGGGGAGCTGACAGGCATGGCCATGGTGGTCCTGGGGAGAACAGAGAGAGGGCTCATGTCTTGGAGGCCTGGAGAGGTGGTGCTGCTGTGCTCAGACTCGGTCCTGGGAGAAGCACCTGAGGGGCAAGTGTCCTCACCTGGACACTGGGAGGCAGACGTGGCACTTGGACATGTATGGTGGCTCTTGGGGGCAGAGGGAGCTACAGGGCAATCTGAGATTCTCTGCCCAGAAGCAAGGGAGTTGAGTCCTAGGACTGGCAGAAAGATCACGTCCTTGCTTTTGTGAAAGGGACAGCCTTGTTTTTCAGAGGCTTTGTTGATGTTAACAGTTTTGAATCTCTAGGGTGTGGTCACTTTCCCAGGCAGGGGACAGGTACTATGGATCAGCCATTTGATTTCATGCTTTTCCCCACATAACCCTCAGCCTGCCTCATCATGCTTTTGGCATCAGAAGGACAGACCAAAGGGTAGAGTCACTGCCTGTGAAGGCTGCATGCCACTGGCTGGCTTGTCCCAGGAGTGTTCTTCCCTCTCTCTGTGTGGACAGAGCCGAGGCTGGGGTCAGGCCAGCCTCTGTCCAGATGCCGAAGTGCCCTAGGCAGTGTCCTCAAGGTGGGGGCTTGGCCTGTCCCCTCCGTTTGATGGTGACATATGTCTGCCCTTCGAGGTCACAGCATGAGTGACTGGAACCCCAGGGCAGGAGTGGGCTCAAGGGATAGTTGGCCCACAGCTGTGCCCACAATGATAGGGGGACCAGCTGGCTCTGGACCCTACCAGACTCCCATGGGTGAATGCAAAGGTCCCCAAGCAGAGGGACAGCCTCTCCCAGGGCCTCTGATGGGCAGTGGATTGAGACGGCATCTGCTTTCTGCTCTCCTCCCACAGCTGAGGTCTACATTGGCATTGGGAAGCCTGCTGAAGCCACAGCCTGCACTCAAGAAGCTGCCAACCTCTTCCCAATGTCCCACAATGTCCTGTACATGCGGGGCCAGGTGGCTGAGCTCCGAGGAAACATGGACGAAGCCCGGCGGTGGTATGAGGAGGCCCTGTCCATCAGCCCCACCCATGTGAAGAGCATGCAGCGCCTGGTGAGTCTGCACTGGGCCGGGACCCCCACTACTGGATCAGAGCTCCCCAGGGAGGCAGCAGAGGCCAGACGCAGTTAGATTGCCAGGCTGCCACACTGCAGGAAGCCAGCAGGCCACTCCCATGGTAGTTCATGCACATGGCACCCTGGGAGGTGAGCACAGCACCATAGCCAGCCTGCCCAGGGTCCTGTAGGTGCCCTGGAGCAGTTTGGGTCACTGGTCTCCTGGCCGGCATTGACGGCCATCTTGGCCCAGCCTGGGCACTGTCATTGTCCATTTGGTCTCTGCACTGCTTGCAGCAGCCACTTTGAGAGATTTTTCACACCCCCAAGGCCTCAGTGCAAAGATCACAGCACAGGGTGTGTGCACGCGCGTGTGTGTGTGTGTGTGCGCGCACACATGCGCAGGAAGCCTGAGATGCCAGAGGTGGCATCTTCAGCCAGGGACACAGGTGATCACCCTCGTTTCCCCACCCTGTGTGGGAGTGGCGGCTCTTTAGAAGCACACATCCCTCTTCTGAGTGCCTGGCCAGAAGGGACGCACATTGCTCTTATGCTCCCTTTCCCTGGACCTTCTTTGAGAGGTCCTGGAGTTGGTACCAGCTGTCTGAGCATCAGTGTGGCAGGGAGCAGATGGGTCACTCGGGGTTCTGTTAAGAATGTACCATGTGGTGGCCAGTTAGCTCAGTTGGTTAGAGCGTGGTACTAATAACGCCATGGTTGCGAGTTGGATCCTCATAGAGGCCACAAACCCTTTCCTTTCTTCTTGCTGGGCATGCTGCTCGAGAGTCTGCTGTCATATTCCTGTGGGAGTCTTAACTAAAACTCAAAGCGAACAGGCATAAGCCGTGAAGAGCCAGCCTGCCTTCCCTGGGCCTATACCCCAGGCTCCAATTCTGAGCCCATATCAAAGCTGAGGTGCCCTTCCCCTTGGCAGACTTTGGGTACTCAGCACCACAATCAGACAGTGATATAGGAGAGCAAACACTGTCCTGTTGGTGTCACTTGCTCAGTCCTTAACCTTGGGGAAGGCCCATAAGTGCTCTGCATGTCAGGGTCCTTCTTTCAATAGGAAGACATCCGCCATGGAGTGGATGTAGTTTTGTAATTAATCGGTTCTCCCAAGGGTCCCAGCGCCTTCACTGTCCACCATTTGTCATAACCAAAACATAGAAGGTTCCGAGCCATATCTACACATTTGCAACAGAAAATGCTGACTCTCTGAGAATTAGATGCTGTTGGAAGAGTCAAATGTTGATCTGAACTTGGGCTTTTCTCTTAGCCTCAGGGACCCTTAGTATTTCTGTGAATTGGGGTGTTCCTTGCCCAGGTGGGCTGTGTGAGAAGTGAGTGAATGGCTCGTGTAACAAGCCTCACAGAGTTCCTGGAACCTGCCAGGTGCCCATTAAATAGAAAACTAAAGACGGTTATTTTCAGTTTTAAAAATAAATCAAACCACAAATAATGACAGCTATTTAATTCTTTCAACTTCCTTTTATAAACATACAGTACTGTAACTCAATGCAGCTTTATAAATAATTTTTCATATTATCTAAACAGTCTCTTTGACTTAAAATATTACATGGGTTTTAATTTTTGTTTCATTATTATAAGAGGAATTTGTTAGGAGCTTTTCAGGTCTCTGAGCTTTTGCTAGAGTATTGTGGAACAGTTATAATCAATGCTGTGTACCCAGTATTGTTATTAAAAAGAGGTAACATGTTTCCACCTCAGGACCAATGAATTATTCAGAGAACTATTTCTTGTTCATCCCCAAGGGGAACACATGAGACAAAAGATCAAATAGGAAAATCGCACCAGGAGAGTTTTCTGTTTCCCCTTGGAGCTTTGCAAGACACCTGAGCTCCTCACAAAGGCCAGGTGCTTTCCTTTCTGACAGGAGCAAGCGCTGGGCCAAGCACAGGGCAGCTGGCGAGTCAGGGGCCAGGCTGATGACCAGGCCTTGCCTGCCACCTCCACTGGCAGCAAGTGGGCCTCTCAGACCCAGACACAGCACTGCTTTGGAAGTCTTGCCAGTGAAAAAGAGTAATAATAACAAACTAACATATTTGGAAAACCATACAGACTGGAGGCAGGTAGAGAGCAGCAAGCCTATAGATTTTGAGTTCATATTGTTTCACCCAGTGGCCGGGATAAGGGCTTGGAACACCTCTTCTTGGGGACCTAAGGAAGATGCACCTGGGCTTGCGTTCTGCCCTGTCCATTCCCGGAACCTGGCCCTCAGCTGGGGAAGTGGGGAGGGGGTGGCCCCCAAATCCCCAGACACTTCAGCCCTGAGGCAGTGCCTCCCCCATGCAGGGAAGCAGTGTTTCTGTGGCCTTGGATGGAGGAGAGGAGAAAGATGATCCTCCAGGCTCCAGACTAGAGTCCAGCACTGTTCCTCCTTGGCTTTAAGGTCTTGGGCACATCATTCCCCCGCTCTGTGCCTCAGTTTCCACAGCTACATAAATGACAATAATGTTAGCACTAGTGCCTCACAGAGACAAAGTCAGTACAAGAACTAAGGTCTCTTGTTTAGTCACAGAGGCCTTCACAGAAACCAGACTGGTGTGTGAGTTCCTGGTGAAGCGAGACAGGGAGGCCAGAAGCCATGTCTTCACCGGGTTGAGTCCAGGAAGCGGATAGAGGGTGCAGAAACAAAGATGAGCGTCGATGGTTGCCTGGTACCCAGGGGAAGAGTGTGTGAAGCCCAGGGCAGCCTGTGCCATGCCAGGCCAGGGCCAGAAGGTCCAGAGTAGCAGGGATTCAAAGAAGAGAGATTCAGAGACCACCATAGAACCAACCAAGGAAGGAACCAAAGGAGAGGGAGATTGTGATGCTGGGAAAACCCCCAAGAGTGGGAAGTGTGTCCGTGGAGGCGCTCATGCTCAGAAGGGCAAAGCATGGAAGGAAGTGAAAGGGAGCCATCAGGACAGCAGGAAGCCACCCTATCTGTCATGGGTGCAGAGCCAGTGGCCGACAGTGGCCACAGAGGACAGATAGCAGCTTGAGCTCACACTGTGGAGAGCAGTTCCTCATTCGGTCCTAGGGGTGTGTGTAAGTGGCAGCACACACCCGGTCATCAAGCTGTCAGGGAGTTTCAATCTGTGCACAGATGTGGACGTGTTAGCATTGTTGAAAAGCACTGATGTAGAACTCGGGTGTGGCTCAGTGGTAGAGTTTATGCTGGGCATGCAGGAAGCCCTGGGTCCACTCCCTAGCCACCAAAAAAGAAACAGCAATGACAGTTGAGAGACAGATAGTGTTTGTGAAAGTAAGCCAAAGGCCAGACTTGAAAAGAGAAACGTAAACAAAAACCTAGGGCAAAGGACAATTTTCAAGTAGTATTAGCCTTCATTTATGTGTTTAAAGTCACATATAGTAAGAAGGGAGAGAGACTAAACATGCTCGGCATCGGTAAGGAGTTAGGACCAACACAGAGACACTGTGCGACAGGTGTTTGGGGAGCGATGAGCTGAAGGCGCCAGTAATGTTGATGAGCGGAAGAATTGGTGGAGTGATCGGACTTTTCCCGGAAAAATCTGAAGGCATTTTTCCTATTAGTCTTACATAAATGCATAAATTTACATTTGTCTGCTATGTGAAAAAGGCTTTAGCTTGAAGTAACCAAAATGAATTAATGAAACATAGAGGAGCTTTTTCAAACCATCCTGTGCTCTGTGTTGGGAGAGGGACAGGAGGGAAAGGCAGCCCAAGGTGCCCGGCCTGCTGAGCCAGACTTTCCAGGCCAGGGACAGGCACAGAGACACAGGGCAGCCAAGGACAGCATAGTGGGATGTAGACGGACTCTGCAACAGGGACATTGGGTTGCCCTTGTTTGAGACTGGAAGGTATGAAAGGAACAAGGGCCTTCAGGAGAGAGATGGACGGGGAGAGGAGTCAATAAGGTTGGAAGGGAAGGTGTCCTGAGCAAGAAATGTGTGCATCGGATATTAGCAGGAGGTCAGCCTGCCTGCATAGAGTTCGTTGACAGATGGAGAAAAGGTGTGGGTGGGAGCGGATGGCAGGGTCAGCCAGGGCCCAGCGGAGTAGACAGCACTGGGAGGACCAGAGGTACCCACAGCAGCATCAGAGAGTTCCAGGAACCAGGGGGGGCCATGCACAGGTAACCAGAGGAAGGGGACAGCAGGGGTACTAGTGACACAGCTGCCCTGCCCTCCCACCGCAGGAAGGAAAGCCAATGTGTCCACCTGCGGGATAGGCCATCCCCTTAGCTGAGTCTGCTGCCACAGAGACGAGAAAGGCTAGAGGGAAAGCGCAACGGGACTGTCCCTTTGAGCATCAAGGTTACTCAGACAAGGCTGGGGCCTGGAAAGGGACAGAAAGCCATCAGCATGGAGATTATGGAGGTGCGAGGCTGTGGGCCACCCCCAGGGGAAGCAGTGCTAACAGATCAGCAGTGGAGCTCTGCCCAGACTAGAGGAAGGTGATGGCAGGAGAGAATGAGGAGGGGCCGCCTGCACAGGGGTGGCTGGAGGACCCGCTGTTCCCTGAGGCCCTTAGGCTGCTGGAGTGAGGCATGGAAGGGATTAGGCTGCTTGGTGGAAAAACACATTTCAGGCTTCTGTCTGAGATCTGGGGCACAGTGGTCCTGAAAGGGCTCGCTTGTCTTCTTGGGGTGGGTGAGAAGATAAGATCACCTCTTAGAAGCCAAGTGGCTTCAGGCTAAAGGCCTCATTCGCACACAGGCCTGTGTGAGGTTTCTCTGAGTGCTCATCCTCCAAAACATCGGGAATCTGGAGTGTCATGGAGCACAGGTGCTCCCAAAGTGGGATCCAGTCCTGTTCCAGGGACCACATTAGTAGCAGAAAATTGGCAGGCATCAGCCAAGCTGTCAGAAATGCATTTTGTGAGAAAATACCCAAAGGTGCCTCACGCAGACAGCATCACCACCCAGGGTGCACCGGGGCACGTCTTCCAGAGCACACCTGTATTTTCTGTAGTTTAGCAGCTGTGACAATTGATCCGTCAAAGCAAAGC